TCATCACCCTCCTCCTCATCACCCTCCTCCTCCTCACCCTCCTCCTCATTACCCTCCTCCTCATTACTCTCCTCCTCACCCTCATCCTTATCACCCTCCTCCTCCTCACCCTCCTCATCCTCACCCTCCTCCTCCTTACCCTCCTCATCCTCATCACCCTCACCCTCCTCCTCACCCTCACCCTCCTCCTCCTCACTCTCCTCCTCATCACCCTCCTCCTCCTCACCCTCCTCCTCCTCATCACGCTCCTCCTCATCACCCTCACCCTCTTCCTCATCACCCTCCTCATCCTCATCACCCTCCTCCTCCTCACCCTCCTCCTCCTCTTCATCCTCCTCACCCTCCTCCTCATCACCCTCCTCCTCACCATCATCCTCCTCATCACCCTCCGCCTCATCACCCTCACCCTCCTCCTCCTCACCCTCCTCCTCATTACCCTCCTCCTCATTACTCTCCTCCTCATTACTCTCCTCCTCACCCTCCTCCTCCTCACCCTCATCCTCATCACCCTCATCCTCATCACCCTCCTCCTCCTCACCCTCATCCTCATCACCCTCCTCCTCACCCTCATCCTCATCACCCTCCTCCTCATCACCCTCTTCCTCCTCACCCTCCTCCTCATTACCCTCCTCCTCATTACTCTCCTCCTCACCCTCCTCCTCCTCACCCTCCTCCTCCTCACCCTCATCCTTATCACCCTCCTCCTCCTCACCCTCCTCATCCTCACCCTCCTCCTCCTTACCCTCCTCATCCTCATCACCCTCACCCTCCTCCTCACCCTCACCCTCCTCCTCCTCACCCTCCTCCTCATCACCCTCCTCCTCCTCACCCTCCTCCTCCTCATCACCCTCCTCCTCTTCACCCTCCTCCTCCTCTTCATCCTCCTCACCCTCCTCCTCATCACCCTCCTCCTCACCATCATCCTCCTCATCACCCTCACCCTCCTCCTCCTCACCCTCCTTACCCTCCTCACCCTCCTCCTCATCACCCTCATCCTCCTCCTCCTCACCCTCCTTACCCTCCTCACCCTCCTCCTCATCACCCTCACCCTCCTCCTCCTCACCCTCCTCATCCTCATCACCCTCCTCCTCCTCACCCTCCTCCTCCTCTTCATCCTCCTCACCCTCCTCCTCCTCATCCTCCTCCTCCTCACGCTCCTCATCCTCCTCCTCCTCACCCTCCTTCTCATTACCCTCATCCTCACCCTCATCATCCTCCTCCTCACCCTCATCCTCACCCTCATCATCCTCCTCTTCCTCACCCACCTCATCCTCATCACCCTCCTCTTAATCACCCTCCTCACCCTCATCCTCCTCCTCACCCTCATCCTTCTCACTCTCATCCTCACCCTCATCATCCTCCTCCTCACCCTCATCCTCCCCCTCATCATCCTCCTCCTCCTCACCCTTCTCATCCTCATCACCCTCCTCCTCATCACCCTCATCCTCCTCCTCACCCTCATCCTCCTCCTCACCCTCCTCCTCCTCCTCACCCTCCTCATCCTCATCACCCTCCTCCTCACCCTCATCCTCCTCATCACCCTCATCCTCCTCCTCACCCTCATCCTCCTCCTCACTCTCATCCTCACCCTCATCCTCCTCCTCACTCTCCTCCTCACCCTCATCCTCACCCTCATCCTCCTCCTCACCCTCATCCTCCTCATCACTCTCATCATCCTCCTCCTCATCACCCTCCTCACCCTCATCCTCACCCTCATCATCCTCCTCCTCCTCACCCTCATCACCCTCCTCCTCATCACCCTCCTCCTCATCTCCCTCATCACCCTCCTCCTCATCACCCTCCTCCTTATCACCCTCCTCCTCATCTCCCTCATCACCCTCCTCCTCATCACCCTCCTCCTCATCTCCCTCATCACCCTCCTCCTCATCACCCTCCTCCTCATCTCCCTCATCACCCTCCTCCTCATCACCCTCCTCCTCATATCCCTCATCACCCTCCTCCTCATCACCCTGATCACCCTCCTCCTCATCTCCCTCATCACCCTCCTCCTCATCACCCTCATCACCCTCCTCCTCATCTCCCTCATCACCCTCCTCCTCATCTCCCTCATCATCCTCCTCCTCATCACCCTCCTCCTCATCTCCCTCATCACCCTCCTCCTCATCACCCTCCTCCTCATCTCCCTCATCACCCTCCTCCTCATCACCCTCATCACCCTCCTCCTCATCACCCTCCTCCTCATCTCCCTCATCACCCTCCTCCTCATCACCCTCCTCCTCATCTCCCTCATCACCCTCCTCCTCATCACCCTCCTCCTCATCTCCCTCATCACCCTCCTCCTCATCACCCTCCTCCTCATCACCCTCACCCTCCTCCTCATCACCCTCCTCCTCATCACCCTCCTCCTCATCTCCCTCCTCCTCCTCCTCCTCCTCCTCACCCTCCTTCTCATCCTCCTCATCATCCTCCTCCTCATCACCCTCCTCCTCATCTCCCTCATCACCCTCCTCCTCATCACCCTCCTCCTCATCTCCCTCATCACCCTCCTCCTCATCACCCTCCTCCTCATCACCCTCCTCCTCATCTCCCTCCTCCTCCTCCTCCTCCTCACCCTCCTTCTCATCCTCCTCATCATCCTCCTCCTCATCCTCCACTCGCTCGGCCAGGCATGGTCTCGTTCCTCAAGCAGAGACGTTTGCATGTGATCCGCCTGAATGCTCGTCGATCTGTTGTGCGCTTGTGGTCCTTCCAGATTTAGAACATTTCTCCAAATGCTGAGCGAAAGGAATGTAAACGCTGCTTATTTTCCAATCCAGAAAAGCTGAAAGATGAGTGACTTGGCCGATCTCGTGTCATCAGGCGAGTGCTGCAGGAATGCCATGTATTATTATTCTTGTATTGTCTGCGTCGACTGTAAAATGTGATTGTTAGGAGCCAGAAAGCCTCTGGCCGCGCCGCTATCGCCTGTGTCCCTGTGCTGACGTTGGCCTGCGGGAACACACGTCACGATCTGTTGACATATTAAAGTCACAGATACATGATGTTTACACACTCGGAGAGCGCTGAAGGAAAACCGCCTGTTTTACGAGACTCTGTTTGTCATGTGCCTTTAGAGTCGCACACACACTGCACAGCTTACCGTAAAGTCAATCACGCATGGCTTGTTAATGTTATGAAAAACTGTGTGCTTGAAAAACTATTTCTTACGTTTCATTATCCTAACGGATGATTTTTAGACAAATGGAAAGGATCACATTGCATGTGTTTAAATTGTGCAGCGAGCCTCATTTATTACATTGATTAAATGGTGCTTGTTTAGCCAGTGATTGTACAAATATACTGAAAAGTATTATTATAAGTAGATTTGCCGTTAAGATATGATTAAGCCTCACTCGCCTCTTATTGTTACAAACGTTTGCACTGATTACTGAGTATTTAACAAAAAGGCACCTGGTAATCGTGGCTGTGTAGGACATTTAAACCGCCTCTGATGCTATTTTAAATGTTCCTAATGTTGTTTTAGCGTCTCCTCTAACAGGTTTACATCATTCCAGCTCAGAAACACTGATTTCCTCATAATCTCCACTGCAGCTTCAGCTCTTTCCTCTCAGTGTCTGAAACGCTTCCATCGAAGACTCAGTCTCTCTAAGCCCCGCCTCTCTGAGAGCTGCTCTGCTCTGATTGGCCAGAACGCTCATTATCATATCTGAATCTCAGCTCTTGATCACAGTGATACGAACAGTAACGATGGCGTGGGTTTCACCGTCTCAATCTCAGAAAACAGTGTCTCCTCGACACGAACAACACGAGCCGAACTCTCCCAGTCTCAGATACACTACAGTGTTTGAGGGCGGAGCTAAGAGACGCTGCTCAGCCAATCAAGACCACAGGCTGGCATTATGCTAATGAGTTATAAACCGGATCAGCGGGAAGTGAGACTGAATTACTGACGACTCGTTTCAGTTCAGAATCACTTCTTTCTTTTAGGAGACTTAATTTAATTTATCTGATCTTTGGAACTTGGCGTTTACATTCACAAACAGCTTTATTACACTATATGAAAAGGAATATCTATATATCACAATAGGGACACTTTAAAGTCATTGTGTTCAGTCACTAGCTGAATTTAACCAAGTGTTACATTTACAGACAAAATTTACTGTTGAATCCTTATAGTTTAGATGGTTTGTTAACTATGGCTTTTTTTAATAGGATCTGTCCTCTGCAATTGAAACATTGCTAATGTTTTTGCATATCGCAGCGCGTGTCTAATCGGCGTGTTTCAGTACACAGAACAGAACATTTAAAGAAAGCTTTTGCCTCAGGATTAACCAAGATCATTGGAATATCAAACAGTGTATTGAGAAATTCATCTGACATTCATCAGAAATTTCATAATTTAATATCTTAAGCCATCCAAGACCTCAGGACATTCTTTGATTTATTGAATCAACAGTCTCATTTTTTTGCACAGAATGCATTTGCCATCGTAATTCCCTTGCACACATCAGTGCTGTTGCCTTCACTGGCGCTTCAGCTCTGACGGCCGCTTGAGGAGAGATTAATATAGTTCTGATGTGATTTGATGCGCGGTTCATTGAGTGTGTGGATCGTGCGGGTCTGTCCGCAGGGGAAGTGTAGCTGTGCTGGGGACGCACTGGAAGCAGGCGCGCGTGCGAGTGCACATAACTCAACACAACACTGCACTGACGGCTATATTGAAGACCGGCTTGTCTTCATTTTTATTGCCAGCATGGCAGTGGAATAGCTGTAATTTGCTGATTATGTGACATGATGCTCTAATAGTTATTCTTTGTTTGGTATATTTTTTTAACAAGCAAGTATTTTATGGGGAAATTAAAAAAAGGTTTTTGCGACTTTTTATATAAAAATTCTGAAGAAGCAAGTATGAATTTAAAGTCTGGAAAAAAAAAGTCCAAATTGTGAGTCACAATTACCTTTTTTATTCCTTGGCAGAACAAGCTTCCATATATTTTGAATTGATGCAAGAATTTTGCACTTAACTATTGCCAATCATT